CAGGCTGACAGCTGTCACACTGAAGTCCAGCTACCCCGGAGCGACAAAGACACTTCCCGAGAAAATCGCAGACTTCAGGCTGGGTACCCGCTAAATTACATTCGCACACTGCAAATGAGAAAAGACATTTCAGAGGCAGCCTCTGCACAGACTATCTTATTTTTCTTTAAACAAAAAGAAAAAAGAAAAAGCAACTCCCTGATATGCAACAGGACCAAAATCTTCCCATCCTATTTATTTTAACTTGTAACAGCTTTTATTGATTGCCCACATCACTAATAATTCAGCATCGAGGAAGACATTAATGAAAGAGCAATAGAATCTGGCTCAAAGTTAACTACTGGGTTCAATCTCAGTGTTGCAGCACTACACTTAGCCTGTCCCCTCTCAGAGTCTGATTTATCAATGTCAAGTGGTATGCCAACTATTGAAAACAGTTCCATCCTTTTTTTAAGATGAAAATGAAACAATTTATGGTTTTGATTTACAATCTCATGTGGGAGGGGTTAAAAAGATGCTAAAAAGACACTACAGAGATGGTTAATAACGTTTAAAAACTAGTATTCTAGTATTGATTAGAAAGGGCAGGTTGGTGCATCAAAGTGAGGTTGCAAACTCAAATTAAACACAAATACTTTTTTAAAAACAAAGATAAGTAACAGAAATGTTCCCAAAGATATACTAAATTTCATCAATGTTACTAAATCCAACCCCAAACTGGAGACTGACAGCTGCATCACACAGTAGACAGCAATCAAGGAAATAGGGGCATTTTTAGATAGAAATCTCCCATCACATTTTTCTTCTTCGACTTCTGTGAGTTTTGGGAGAGCCCCTTATGAACACATCTCCATGGCAAAAGAACTTCATCCCACAGTATAAAACTTGGGTCTGTATTTTGTATATGCTTGCCAAAAGGGAACATTTGGCTTACCCTGGCAGAAGGGGTAATGAAAATACCCAGCTGCACAGGTATCACAGGAAAACCCCCAAAATCCAGTTCGACATCTGCACTGTCCCGTGTTCCCATCGCAGTCACCGCCCAGCACTCCTGCGCCGTGGCACTGGCACGCTGAAGAGCACATTTGTAAAGAAAACATTTGCGGCATTATGATCTTAAAGTTCCTATTTCACTTGGAAGCTGAATGCTGGCATTTACACCATAGTGCAGGCTCCAAGCGTCAAAGAAACTGTGGCACTTACGCAGACACTGGGGGCCAAAATACCCTGGTTTGCAGCCACCTTCTAGTTATAACAGGAAAGAAAAAGAAAGAAAGGAACAAAGTTAGTGCATAAAATCATGCAACTCCTCATAGTTTTGCAGAGAAAGAGAGATCAGTGCTTAGTAATTATTACTCTTAGTTATTATTACTTAGTAATTATTTTGAACTGACAAAACTATTTGTATGATGCTTACACACAATCTCATTTCTAAAAAAAAAAAATAAAATTTTAATTGTGCTTAGTCTGCCAGCACAAACTTACAACTTCTACAGATACTTAGAGGCAGTTGCCTTTCTTACGCCTTCAGACTCAGATGCTACTCATTGAAAATGTAAAATAGCTCAAGATCTGTTTTTTCCTGTTTATAATTCTTCATTTTATCTCTGGAGTTTTCTTTCTTCTTCCTTTTAAAAATATGTGAGAGAAGAGGATATGTGACAGAGCATACCCAGAGGCCTACCAGGGAAATTCTTTTGGATGCTGTAGGAAGAAGAAAAGTGCTACAGGAGACTGAGGCTTCATGGGCTGCGATGGCAACTGCAGACACTTTCAAGAAAACAATTTGGACTTGTAAATACATACACAGATTTATACCGTATGCTTTTGTCTGAGCATCTGCTACATTCACAGAAGAACACTCTTTTTCATTTGCCAACACAAACGCCAGTTCTATTAAAGCTAATAGTAATAAAGGGGAATGTTGATTTTGGGATATGACAAAGGTTGTGAGGTTTTTGAAACTTATTAATCCTGAAGTGCATTACAAGTATATATTTGATTAAGCACTAGCTGTGATGATGTCTCAGTTCTGCAGTATAATAATATATACTAAAAAATACAAGCCCCATGAGGGAATCATATGGATTTCAGGCAGCTTTGCAGTGGGCTAAATAAGAAATATGTGGCTCTCTTAGAAGAGAAAGTTCTTCACTGCCAAGGGCAATGTACAATTTCCCAGGTGCAAGAGGACTGTCCAGAAGCAGAGGCCAATGAGCCTGAAGAGATTTACACCGCAAAGCAGCTGACAAGTTGTAAGTGTCAGAAAGTCTCGATGGCTCTGTTCATAAGAGCACCAAACAAGATGGTCAGCCTCTTCTGCAGATGCTTGCCGGAGGCTGGTCAAACTTAGTTTGATCCATAACTCTTTCTGAAACTAGTCTACTAAACTGTTCAATACAGACATGACAATACGATGAACTTCTGGCAAGAACAAAGGTTCTCTGAAAGATAAATACCTAGAAAGGCAAAATTACTACATAAATCTCCATGAAAGAGCAGGCACTACCAAAACAGTGAAAAAATAGCAACATGGGGAAAAACAGTGAAATAGGGGGAGAAAAAAACCACCAAGAACTTGCCGATTATGTCACCAGCCACTGCATCTCTTGGATTTGGAGAAGTAAAATGATGTACGGGAATACCTTTAAAACAAAAAACCCCAATGAAGTGTATTTGAAACAGACATAAGTTATTTCACTAAAAATCATGACAAACCATGAATTCATCTCCTGTCAATACAGAGAGCATGATATTCAGATGACTCTGGCAACCGACCTCAGCTTGGTATTCTTCCAGTTAGGAACAGGGTAAGAAACATTTTACTTTAAATCTCCAATTCAGGTACAAACACCCCTTCTTAAAAAAACAGTATGAAAGGCCAGATGCCACTTGGAAATGCTACCAGGTTGCTTCCCTGCTCCCTTCCCTTTTGTACAGAAAGCTTTCTCATGCTAGATGGTATTATGAGAGCTACCAAGGGAGCTCCATATTTATTTCACATTTCCTGCTTTCAGCTGAAGGTCCATCTCCTGCTATGTGGCATTATCACTCACTGCCTGAACTGTCAGAATTCATGACATGTATGTTACATCTTGGGAGATTTTTAGTTGAGAATCCTCCAGATTAGGAATGGGAAAGACATCCCAACAAACTTTCCTCCAGTAAGATGGGATCCGAAGTTGATGTGTTACAAAGATCGGTGGGATTTAGATCAAGGTCTACCTGAGTTGAACTTTCTTAAAAATGTTGGATTGCAAACAAGAGGATAAATAAAACGTGATAATCTAGAGTGCAGTGTACAGAGAGGATTTATTCTATCACAGCCACTGAATTCAATCAACATTCCCTTTTTTAGTGTTTCTTTTTCCTTTGTTTTGTACTGATTTCTCTCCTCCATTTTTATCATGATACCTCTGTTTTAGTCAGACCTCAAATCTTGCCCCAGAACAACACCTGTTTTATTGGCTGTCAGAAACACGCTTCTCCTGAGGGCACAAAACATCCCGCTGATGAATTTTTAGAAGCTGATCATGGAGTCATAAGCTTTTATGCAGCAAACACAATTCTGATGTTACTTTTTTCCTCGGTTATTTTATATACAAATTGTTTATGGGGAAAGCATGTAACTTCCTAAATTCCCAACACTTAATTTTAATATCTGTATTTTAAAGTAAAAATCTAATTTTCAATTGATCAATAGTGTTAGATAGCATCTGTTGCCATTTTCAGTACGCAGAAGCACTCAGCATTTGTGTCACATCATATATGTTTATTTTCTTCGGTTTTACAAACACCTTTCATTCAACTATTTTTTTAAAAAATCAGAAACAAACTGGAACCCTTCTTTTGACCACATATCTGCACCTACCTGCGGCCCAGCAAAAATATGACAGCACGGCTGAGAGCCTTATGGTCTGCCAAGAGAGTCTTTCTAACATTGCACAGGTGCTATTTTAGAATTATTGTTATTTATTTTAGAATCCTCCAAAAGCCCACAATCTTTGTTTATCAGGGATACAAGTTCCAAATCCTAGAAGGTGTCAAGGAGAACACATAACCATTTTCTCCCCTCTCTCTCACTACAGTCACGTTCCACTTTATACCTAAAGACCCTGAGACTTGTTTAAACAGTTTGTCCATGACTTTAGGACTGGAGTTCATGACTCACTGAGAGATAGGCTGTAGCCCCAGTGATGATGTCTTAAACGAACTCAGAATTGTAACAATGCAGCACAATCTATTTGATTTTCAAGTAACCATCATTTTGTAAAATAAACCATATTCTCTTCAGTATTATAACAACTGATTTATCAGAACATGTAGACCCATGAAGCTGAAATGCCAGCTGGTTTAGCCAATTAAAATGTAATGAAAACTGTTAATTATTTATTGCACATTTAAAATACTGGAAAAGAGACATTTTTATTTGTATACTTACGGACGCAAAACGGATAACCATAGAATCCATCAGCACAGCGTTCACAGCTTTCTCCCTGGAAATTCTGCTTACAGAAGCAGTGGCCAGACCCTTCCTCACAGCCCTCTGCATGCTCCAAGACACAACTGCAGGCTAAGTAAGTATCAGCAATTAGGCACTCTTTGGAAAAGAATTAATTTGCCTTTTACAGCAGTGCGCAATGGCATTATAACAGTAAACTTGCCATTGTGAATGCCTCATTATTTCAAGAATTAACATTTGCATGCTTTTACATATTTTCCAAGTACTTTATATCACCAGTTAATCTTTGTGATATCTCTTAGAAATAAGACCTATGTTATTTTCTTAGAGTGGTTAGTATTTTTAATTCAGAAAGCTGCATGTTATTACTCCACAGCACTGCAGCAACTATCTTTTTTCTGTGGCATCTGCTCATCTCTCCATGGTCTAGGCAGAGCACCACGCTCCATCCACCTTCCCTTGCACACCACGTGCAACATTATGGCAGTCCACCATGGCTCTGTTGACTTCCCATCATTTCAATACCCAAACACCACAAACCGTAGCTTCCTCCTACCTGTCAAAAGGCTCCTTCAGCCTGCTTGTAATTCAACTCTTATCTCTTACCTATAGTCAATTCTTCTTTTTTAAATGTTATATTAGTAATTATCCTATTGCATAATTTATTAGTCATTAGGTTCAGCACTCCATAAAAAAGAGTAGTGATCCTCGTGACCTTTTGAGCTATAGAATGAAATTTTCAAGTGACTAAGAGCCAAAGGATACCTCAAATGTACATCAGAGAGCTAAGAGAAGCAAGATCATGTGGGTAGGATATGAAATGGCTTCTTGGAGGTCATGCCAGCTCACTGTGGGATGTGTAGCAACACCCCAGGCTTACGTGATCCTATCTCCTCAGCAGCCTTTACTGGCTTACTTCCTCCTATTGTTCCTACTGTTGGTCTGAAGCTGTTGGCTCATGTGACACATGAGTTGAGAAGAAAGGGTCTAAAACAACACAGAAAGTCATTTGCAGATGTTCTCCAACGTCTTTTGGCCACTCTTTCATTTTTCCTCCAGAAAAGATGCATCCCATGCCTTGATCATAGCCAAAAAATTCCCAAGCCACCAACATGAGAAGATGCTTAATAGAGAAGGACTCACGTATACAGCCGTCAGGAGCTGTTGCTGGAACACCGTAAGGACGATAGTAACCTTTTGCACACTTTTCACAGTTAATACCAGCTGTGTTATGCTGTGCAAATTAAAACAAAAGGAAAATATGAGATAAAAAGGGGAACTTGGAAGAATTAAGAAACAATAACATCCTTTACACTGTTTCTATATACAACTGAAAAAGGATCAGCACAGGAAAAAGCAGAATATGACAGCAGTAAAGACAGCATTCATCATTTGCTGTTCTTTAACACCTGTTCTCTACAGATTTCTGAATCATGGCATTCTCACATAAAGCAGTTGAATTTTATCTTTAAAGGATCATAAAAAAGAGCTATTTAAAAAAATCTAGGGGAAAAAAATCTCTTTTCCCTATCACATGATATTTATCTCTTTTTATGCTGCCTTCTTATCATAATGTATACATCGTTCAGGCAACTGACTGATCAATTTTTCCTCATACTATATATTATTTTTTGAATACCATATGTCTAAGATCAGCAACATCAAAATAAAACAACACCTGATCAGTCAGGTCAGTACAAAACAGATCTTCCATTACAAAAGCATATACCTCTGTAAAAGTGTGTTTCAAGCACACAGAAAAAATATCAGAAGTAACTTGAACTACAGCAAAAATATGTAACTCCCCTAGGAACACAGTCCTGAGTGTGTGTCAACTCGTGCAGCAAAGCTCTCCCCTGTGGTGGGGGCAGCAGGGATGTGCAGGCGCGGTGGCAGTCACGG